AGGGTAAGGTGGGACCAAGTGAGAGAGTGGCATGGACATATATACACTACCAGCTGTAAAATAGATAGCTAGTGGGAAGCAGCCACATAGCACAGGGAGATCAGCTCAGTGCTTTGTGACCACCTAGAGAGGTGGCATAGGGAGAGTGGGAGGGAGACGCAAGAGGGAGGAGATATGGGGATGTACGTATATGTATAGCTGATTCACTTTGTTATAAAGCAGAAACTAACACACCATTGTAAAGCAATTATACTCCAATAAAGATGTTAACAAAAAAATAACTAAGTTGGCATAACTGGCTATACAATGTGGAAAAAAATAAAATTACATTTCTACCTGTCACTTTCAACAAAAATGAATTCCAGGGCCAAGGACTTTAGGAAGAGCAGAGTAAGGACTTGCAAAAATCCACTCTTCCATAAGCAAATATAATACTGGTAAATTTTTTCAAAATAGACTCTTTTAGAACTCTGGAAATTAGTTTTGCAAAAACTCAAGAAGTGTTTATTTAAGAAATATGGCTGACTTGGTAAGAACAGTGAGCTCTGTGGCATTTCAACTTGCCCTAATCCATCCCCTCTGTGCAAGTTTGTGGAAACTTTGAAAACCAACAGTATCACAACCATGATATCTGTGAAAAACAGTAGCCCAGCAACAGCTGGAGGAAGGAGAACAGTGTGGTGCTCCCCCAAATTCCCACTCCAGTGAACTGTCAATATCTTATCCATCAGGATACTTGCTGAAAAGCTCCACTCCCATGGTTTGGCTTTATTTGACCTGACTCAGAGATTGCTCTTACAAACAGCCTTAGACCCAGGGCATTTGCTGAAAACTACCAGCAGCAACACTGCAGCTATGTGCAGCAGCAGCCTAGCCAACTTGAGGTAACAAGAGGCTGACCAAAACACTTTAAAAGGAAAAACTGGGAAATGAGATATTTATTGGGTCTTTGAAAGACTCCAACACATTCCTGGGACTCCAGAAGGCCTGGCACACATGTAGGAATGTGCACATACCAGGGAAAGACCTAAAAGAGCCTAATCTCTCGTCTCTGGCCAACCTTGAGGCAATGTTCAAGCAGCAATTGAAGGCTAAGGCTTGTAAACTACTTCCTTGAGCACTGAAGACATCCTCCCACCCACATGTACACACCCACAGCCCCTCAGCAAAGGCTGGGAAACTCTGTGCCAGGCATTTAAAGAAATCTCTATCTAATCATTAGTTACCACTAAACTAACTGAGCAGAGGCTTCAGTGACTGCAGAGACAAAGAATACAGACTTTACAGTAATTAATTAATCCAGGAAACTCATTAAACAAATAAACAGCAAATATAACAAGTCCAGAAAGGAGTGGAAATCTGATTTCCAGAGTTGCCCCAATATTATTTCAACAACAACAAAAAATACAACACATGCAAAGAAACAGGACAGTATATCCCATACTCAGAAAACACAGCATTCAATAGAAACCGTCCATGAGGAAGCTCACATTTTGAACTTATGAGACAAAGATTTTAAATTATGTGAAGTTACTGTAAATATATTTAAAGAACTAAAGGAAATGATGTCTAAAGAATTAAAGGAAAATATGAGAAGGTATGAGAATTATGTCTCACCAAACAAAGAATATCAATAAGGAGATACAAATTATACAAAATGAACCAAACAGAAATTCTGAAGTTCCAAGTATGATTTCTGAAATGAAAAAATCCTAACAGCAAAATCCTAGATGGTCCTAACAGCAGATGTGAATTAGAAAAAAATCAACAAATGTAAAGGCAGGTTAATTAAGATTATCCAGTCTGAGGAACAGAAAGAAACAAATAGAGCTTCAAAGACCTATATGATATCAACAAGCTTACTAACACAGGGATCCCAAGGGGAAAGGATAGAGAGGAAGGAGCTAAATAAATATTTAACAAAATAATGGTCCAAACTTCCTAAACTTGATTAAAAACATTAATCGACATATCCAAGAAGCTCCACAAATTCCAAGCAAGATAAACTCAAAGATATGACCACCTAAACACATCATAAGTCAAACTGGCAAAAGCCAAAGGTAAAGCAAATGTTGAAAGTAGCAAGAGAAAATCAGTTCAACATGTACATATGGTCCTCAATAAGGTTAACAGTTGGTTTCACATCAGAAACCATGCAGACATGAAGCCAGTGGGATGACATATTCAAATTGTAAAAGAAAAAGACTGTCAACCAGTAATTCTATATCCAGCAAAACTACCCTTTAAACAGAAGAAAAGTTATTCCTAGGTAAACAAAAACTTAGAGAATTTGTTGCTAGTAGACCTTTTCTATGAGAGATACTAAAGGGATTCCATCAGGCTGAAATGCAAGGACACTAGAGAGTAACTTAAATCCAAACAGAGAAAAAAAGAGCACCGGTAAAGGTAACTCTATATATCAATATAAAAGACATTATAGACATATTTTTATTGTATTATCTTCTTCTATCTGATTTTAAAATGTATACATCAATAATTATATTACTTGCTGATAGGCTGATAATGTATGCAGATGTAATATGTACGAAATAATAGTATAAAGGTATGGGGTGGGAATAGAGGTATACTGAAGGAAAGTTTTTGTATATTGTTAAAATTATGTTGGCATTAACTTAAACTAGATTTTTAAAATTTAAGATGGTATCTGTAATCCTAGGGTAACCACTTAGAAAATAATTCAGGAAAACACAGTAAAGGAACAACGAAAGAATTAAAATGGTATACTAGACAATATTTCACACAAAAGAAGGCAGTAATGGAGAAACAGAAGAACAAAAAAAGATAAAAGACATACAGAAAACACAAAGTGTTAGATGACAATCCTTTATGAGTAATTATGTTAATGGTAAATAGAATAAACACGCCAATCAAAAGGTAGATTATTTGAATGTATTAAAAAAATATGATCCAACTGTATGCATTCTACAACAGAAACACTTCAGATTCAAAGACACAAATAGGGTGAAAGTAAAAGAATGGAAAAAGATATGTCACACACACACAAAAAAAAGACAGACTGAAAAAAACTATTTCTAAGTACATAAAAGAAAAAGGATGTATAGTTGACCCTTGAACAACATGGGTCTGAACTGCACAGGCCCATTTATACTTGAACATGGGTTTAAACTTATGTGTGCATAAGTGGACCCAGGCAGTTCAAACTCATGTTGTTCAAGGGTCAACTGTACAAGATCGTGGTTGGTTGCATCCGCAGATGTAAGGATATGGAGGACTAACTATGGGACTTGAGCATCTGCAGATTTTGGTATCCTTGGCAGGCCTCAGAACCAATCCCCCATGGATATCAAGGGATGACTGTATATATAATACATATATATAAAAGAAAAAGGATGTATACTCATATGTAAGTATACATATATTTACATGTATATATAAATTCGAACTTCACAGGGTAGGAATTTCAGAAGTCTAGTGACATAAGAAAAAGATCAAATTCATTAATCAGGCAAATACAACTTAAAACAACAAAGAGATATTGTTTATTACCAACAATGCAGTGGCAAAAATGTTTAAGTTTTATAGCCTTCATATTCATTGGTCTGGAGAGACAGTGGTACAACCACTTTGGAGGACAATTCAGAAATATCCCTAAGAAATTATGACCTGCATTTCTGTATGACCTTTGTTTCTGTGTACACACACTTAAAAAACCCTTGCCTGTGTATATAAGATATGAACAAAGATGTTCACTAAAGTTCCCTACTGAAAACTTTGGAAACAACCAAATGACCATCAAAAGGGGAATGGCTAAAGAATATGCATAACTTCATAAAATACAATAATCAAAAGTAGTTCAAAACTAATTACATTGTATGTATCTATATGCATATAATCTTGAACCATTACTACATGGAGAAAAAATTGCCAAGTAAGAGGTGTGATATAATTAACATAAAAATTCATATAAGGTAATACTCTATTCTTTAATACAGGAAAAAACCCTATATATATATGTATAAATATATGGAAAAGATCTGGAAGAATGCACTCCAAACTCCTAACAGATTATAGACTAATGGTCAAAGGGGGTTTTATCTGTAATACTCTAATTCTTTAAAAAGAATATATTAATATATGAGTTGTATAATTTAGAAAATACTTAAAATGTACAAATTTCCTAACTGGAATATTGGTAATATCCTATGACTCTCTGGAAAGATCTCTGGATATATTTTCCATGCTACAAAGTGTTGATATGATTTCCATCACATTCCTTCACATGTGATGGAAATCATAACAATATCTTCCATATTTTATTTTTGGCAAAAGTGTAATCAGAAAATCATAATAATTCTATAGTGGTATTCTACAGTGGTATTACTGAGAAAAAAGGTTTTAAGAGCATTATATCTCCATTTTCTTTTATTACCCAGCACTTCTAATGAAAAGAAAGCAAATACTTGGTATCAAAATCAATCTAAATGAAATTTAAAAGATTACTATTTTTGGCTGTGCTATTAAAAGAAAACTAATATTGGAACTGTAATTTAATAAAAGCATATACATACATGTGCAAATGTCAAAAGTCTGATATTGTATCCTAATTGAAAGAATAAAAAGTCTTCCAGAATAGAAGAAAAAATAAAAAGTCTTCCAGAATAGAAGAAAGAAAAGATTCAGTACCATTAATGCTTTACTTTTCTGGTTTAAATTATTAGTGAGTCCTCCAGAGAATATTTAAATGTTATGCCCACATGTTAAGAAATTTGAGTAAGAAGGAAAGTAATAAAGAGCTGGAAAATAAGTGCATTCCTAAGCTTGATATAATAATTTTGGCTTACCCCTCTATGATAATAAATTTAAAAATCATATTTCACAATAATAATTCTACTTTAAATATTTATAGATAAGTCTATAAATTCAAGTCTATAAATTCTACCATTCAATAGTAGTTCTTCCAAGTTATCAGGATTTCGAGCAAGCTGTAGGATCAAAGCAGAACCCCGAACCTTGTCAGGAATATCTTCATATAATAACTCAATGTACTCATCCATGTCATTAATGTTAGCAACTTCATCAATCTGAAACAAAGGAAGAGGAAGGAAGTACTCTAAAAGAATAATGCTCAACAGAGCCAATGTCAAAGGAATGGTATTCTGTGATCAATAAACTGCCCTTGATAGTAAGAGACAAGTTTTCAAAGGACTTAACAGTTGCCATCTTTTTGTAGAGGGGGAAATTAGACCTTTGGGTGATAGGACTCCTGAGTGAAAGTAGTCATAAACCATATGATAAAATGGGATGTATATAAACTCTAAAACTGGCCTATTTATATTGATAAAGTATCTTAAATGTAATTCAAAATAGTATCTACCATAAGAAATTAAACATACTTTAAAACATAGAATAAGAATATTTAAAACATTTCACAACTTAGTTATCAAAATAAATTATGTCTAAAAGACACACCCAATAATTTTTGCCTTTATTAAATACTGATTTTCTACCTTTTTCAGGTAGTTTAAGTTCAACCATTTTTTAAAATTCCACATTTGTTTAATGTGATTGTATGAATTATTGATGGTAAAAAGCAATACCTTAGAATCAATTCTCTATTAGATAAAAATACAGTCTTACCTCCATTCCTTCAAAAGGAGGTGGATCTTTAGGCTTGCTTGATTTTTCTTTTTTTTCTGTAAAAAGATTTTTTTCTTATGAGAAGAGCAATGTTTTTAGGTTTCTGGGTAATTTTTATTTTCAGCAGCTGAGTTTAATTCTAGCTAAGTTGGGGATCTTCAAATGGGTAATTTATGAAATAACCTTTTTTCCAATGTATAAAAAATGCTCATCTATAATGCATTTGTTCTAATAAGGATATCACGGAGAGTATAATAAATTCTATAAATAATAAGTTATGTCAGGTAGCAATTTAAACTTCCTCTTTGGCTAACATTTTAGGTATGTAAATAGCCAGACTTGCCAACAAGAAGCAAAATACTCCGTTTTGAGTTTTCTTTCTTTTCCTAATTCACATTTAAGAATAGGAAAATCAATAAGGCAAAGAAAAACTCATGAGTTGAGTAATATAAAAGCTAAAATAAAAATTAACAAAGGAAAAGGAAAAGAAATAACTTGGATAAAGTTAAAAAGCTAAAATACAGTTGCTGATTTTTTAAACAAAATTAGGATCATAAATTAAAAGGCAAATGTTTAATATTTGTGTTAATTTAATCCTCACTTGTTCCCAAATGAATTAAAGAGGTATTCAAAGGTGTTGAACACAACTTTGAGTCATTTTTTATGTTGAATTATTTGATTCATAGCAGAACTTCATTTTGTGAAAAAAAAATTATCAAAAATGCTTCACTGCTCTGATCTGCATCAAAAACCTAAGCAATGAATGTACATTAAAATAAGTTCAAGTAGTATCAAATTTTTGATTCTATAATTAGCAAATGTTTTACATATAATAGGAATTAGCCCTGATTGTTTTCAGAGGAAGGTAGCTGTTATGGACAAAGTTATGTCTTTTTTTTTTTTTAAAGTGGTTATTTTTTTTTTTAATTAATTTATTTTTGCTGTGTTGCGTCTTTGTTTCTGTGTGAGGGCTTTCTCTAATTGTGGCAAGCGGGGGCCACTCTTCATTGCGGTGCGCGGGCCTCTGACTATCGCAGCCTCTCTTGTTGCAGAGCACAGGCTCCAGACGCGCAGGCTCAGTGGTTGTGGCTCACGGGCCCAGTTGCTCCGCGGCATGTGGGATCCTCCCAGACCAGGGCTCGAACCCGTGTTCCCTGCATTAGCAGGCAGATTCTCAACCACTGCGCCACCAGGGAAGCCCAAAGTTATGTTTTCTTAACAGCTAGATTTTTCCTCAAACAGATAATTTACTATGACAGTTAATTTAGTTAAGCAAAGAAAAAAAAATACTTATGGTAAAGAATCACATAATCAAATAACTATTATTGTTTTATTTCAACCACTTTTAGGGCTAGGTTTCTGGCTTTGAAATAGTGAATCAATAGTAAAAAAGAAAGAAAATGGAATAGTTTTTAAAAATAAGTGTACAGGGCTTTGCTGGTGGTGCAGTGGTTGAGAGTCCGCCTGCCGATGCAGGGGACAAGGGTTCGTGCCCCAGTCTGGGAAGATCCCACATGCCGCAGAGTGGCTGGGCCTGTGAGCCATGGTCGCTGAGCCTGCGCGTCTGGAGCCTGTGCTCCGCAACAGGAGAGGCCACACCAGTGACTGGCCCGCGTACCGCAGAAAAATAAAAAATAAGTGTACATATACTATAGTATAGCATTTCATATATGCCTCCAAACATTAATATCCATTTAGAGAAACATATCGATTTGAATTAATTTATCTACTTATGATAACATGAAAATTTCCTCATATTCCTCTAATTTCTGGGGAAGGAGGTAAGAAGACTGATTTACTCTGAAAACTCAGTGAAAGGGTTTTCATTTGTTTAAAGATATTTTATTACAAATGCCCTCGGGATTATATTAATTTAGCATTAGGAAAGATCAGTTTTAACTATATTGTACAACCTACAATAAGTACACACACATCTTAAAGGAGCATAGCATTTATTTTTCTCACTTACTTATTGAAGCTATCTCTCATCATTTAGTAACACTGTTAACAGGAATATTGTATCAAAAAATAGTTAATAAAATTTTTGATAATATTTTCCTTATAGCACTTGTTATTAATAATTAATAGGGATACACTGAGTGCCAGCTATGTAGTTGGAAACAATCAAATTCAAAATGTTCATTTTTGCTTTTAAATAAATTCACAGCTATTCAATTCATTCAACACATATATATTGATCATATAAAGTGTGTTAGATACTATATACAGTGCCAATTAATAAAAGTATATATTAGGCACAAGGCATTTTATTTGCTGTGGATGGGAAGACTGGTTAATCTGAAAAAAGTCCAAATGAATTTTCTCTTTCATTTTTCTATTTAATACAATCAAAACTTAAGTATAAGTTATTTCAAGGGTACCATATTTTAGAATTCACCAATGATAAAAGAGAGATATATGTTAAACTTAATAAATACTATGAAATGGAATAACTAACCATTGAATAATCTGAGATGACTTTCCATTCAAATGTCTGTACTCTCGTTTTGTTTTGGGTTTGGATTATTCGAAAATGTCTTCTATAAATAATCAACTGCTTAGCTCTAATATTTTAATGGCTTGGTTCTTTTATGAAGTAATTAAAGATAGAAAAATGGTAACAACAAAGACGTTTAGGAATGAAAAGGTAATGTTTTCCTAACAAAGATTCACAAAACTTATGCATATGACATATATTTTAACATTTAAATAAGAAATCCAAATTATCAATTAAATGTCAATAAAAACTTTAGAAAATATAAATCTAGTTGCTGGCGTAGAGAAAACAGGTTTTCTGCTCCCAATTTTCTCCTTTTATTATTCTAGGATCAATATGGAATTTGCCTTTTTACTCTTTATTTCAGCACATGTGTACACACACAGTATGAAATAGATCATTTTGGAAGCATCTAACATAAAGCCTGGCATGTAGGAAACTAGTATGTTTCTTTATTATTTCATTCACTTACTTAGAGCACTGGCAAAAGAAAACTCACCATTCAAATATCAAAAGTACAAACTATAGTCAAACAACTCTGGTTTTACATTAAAAAGTTAGGAATTCTTCTGCTTACCTTTTCCTGACACTGAATCACGGCGGTTCTGGAGATAGTACAACAGCTGTTCTACCTCATTTAGCTTTGAGGGATGAATGAGTTTACATTCTTCAACCACCTTTCGTGCCAGGGAAGTTATATCTGTGTTGGCATTGAGACTCTTAAGACGAATGCTGCAGGCATATCAGAATTTTCCAACTCAGGTATTATTAAAATAAGTGATAACTTAAACAATACTTCTTTTAAATAATTTACAAAACATTTAAGTGTACCTAACATAATCTCTTTTAGTAAAATATAATAAAGTATTAGATATAATTAGGCTTAGAAAAAAATGCAAAGCAATGATTTTCCTTGAGCTGGACAAATAAGATAACAAAAGGAATGGTAAAATCTACATCTGACTCTTCTAGGCAGGATAGCATATCCAGAGAGCTTGTTTTTAAAGTCTTTCTGATATCACATAAAGTTTTTAATTATTATTAGATGTGAAAATCCATACTGCCAAAAATGAATCATTTTCTTGACCATATTCACAGTCATTTTCTTTTCAGTTAGGGGCAAGACACAATATTAATATATTCGGATTCAGTTGTTCTGATGGAAATTATATAGAAGACACAAGAAAAAAAAGTAGGATGCATTTTAAGATCTATATGAGTAATGCTGGGGAACAAATAAATATAGTTATACCTGCTAGTACATTAAAAAGAAAGACAAAACAGGTTCTCCCTCCTTTTTAATTTAATCCAGGAGATTCACTGGAAGGTCAATAAGAAAAGGTTGTTCAAAATCTGGAAACAACGACCAATTTACGTGGATTCATGGCACCAAAGAAAGCTATAAGGACATAAAATTAGGTTCAGGGTGAAGACTCAAACTGGTGGCAAAAGATTCTTGCAAAGTAGATGCATTCATGCAAAGCTTAGATTCAAAAAGAGAAACATAAGAAAGTAGCCACTATGTTGAAATACTTCTTAGGGAAGATGGCCAATTTTTGGAGACACTCAAGGTATTAGAGGCAACAGGGACAGAGACCTCAGAAAAATGTCCTGCACTTAGCATCTGTGAAATCATTATTCAGATACAGATAATCTCTCCTGAAACAAGTCTAGTAAAGTGATTTGAATACTGTTCACAGCTTTATAGTCATCCTCGAATCTGGTCCTCTTGGGATCTATAAGCTACCTAATAGCCTTTAATAAATTCCTTTTATGCTTGAATTTTCTAGAGTGGCTTCTAATGTCTGTAACAAGAACCCTAGCAATACTCTGTCCCTTTATTTTAATTTTTTTCTAATTTATTTGGCTGTTTAAGTTCCTACCTTTTAAATCTTTTAAACTGTTGAATATTTTTGTATAACTTTAGCTGCCCATCAGAAAGCAGAGATATAAAGGAAAGTCTATTCAGAGAAAAACTCTCAAAAGACATCTCCACGTTTAATTTTAACAAGGAACTGGGAAATCTTGAGTTTCCATAAATCTGATTGAGAAGAAGCACAACAGAAACGCTATAAACATGTATTTTTGAAATTTTCCTACTAGTTTTTTTTAGCAGTTTTAGGTTTACAGAAAATCTGTGCTGAAAGTACAAAGTTACCATATATGTCCCCACTACCCTCCCCCAGTACAGTTTCTTCTATTATTACCATCTTGTGATAGTGTGGTAACTTTGTCACAATTGATGAATCACTATTGATATATTATTAACTAAAGTCTAAGTTTACATTGGGGTTCACTCTTTGTATTGTATAGTTCTGTGCACTTGGACAAATGCATAATTTCATGTATCCACCATTAAAGTAGCATACAAAATAGTTTTGCTACCCTAAGAATGCCCTGTGCTCCACATATTCTCCCCTCCCACCCCCGAACTCCTGACAACTTCTAATCTATTTTTACTTTAGTTTTGCCTTTTCTAGATGGTCATACAGTTGGAATCATACAGTATATAGCTTTTCCAGTCTGGCTTCTTTCATTTAGCAATATTCATTTAGGTTCCTCTGTGTCTTTTTATAGCTTGATGGTTGATTTCTTTTTAGTGCTGAATAGTACTTGACTATATGGATGCAACACAGTTTGTTTACCCATTTGCCTACTGAAGGATATCTTGGTTACTTACAATTGTTGACAGTTATAAATAAAGCTGCTATAAACATTCATGTGTAGGTTTCTGTGTGGAAATACATTTTCAACTCATTTGGGTTAATATCTAGGAGCACAACTGTTGGATCATATGGTAAGTGTATGTTTAGCTTTGTAAGAAACTGCCAAAATGACTTCCAAAGTAGCTGTACCATTTTGTATTTCCACCAGCAATGAATGAGTTCCTGTTGCTCTACATCCTCACCAGCATCTGGTGCTATCAGTGTTTTAGACTTTACACATTTTAATAGGTGTGCAGTAGTATCTTGATTTAATAAAGCAGATTTTTTCTATCTTTTTTTAGATTTATTTTCTACCAATACATATATTAGCAATCTGATTCATCATCTTCTTTCCATCCAAGTAACAGAAAGATTCTCTTCTGTTAGTGTGTACATCTCTCTCCTAAATCCTTCCCTTGTTAAAAGAGACAAAGAAAAATTATGTAGGACTAGAATTTTTAGAAAATGTCAGCTGTATGTTTACTGATTATTTCTAAAATAAAAAAATAGGCCCCCTTCATTAGGCAGCCCATGCCTATTAGTAATACCAAAAACTCATACCAAAAAATGCCCATATTGGGCTTCCCTGGTGGCACAGTGTTTGAGAATCTGCCTGCTAATGCAGGGGACACAGGTTCGAGCCCTGGTCTGGGAGGATCCCACATGCCGCGGAGCAACTAGGCCCGTGAGCCACAACTGCTGAGCCTGCGCGTCTGGAGCCTGTGCTCCGCAACAAGAGAGGCCGCGACAGTGAGAGGCCCGCACACCACGATGAAGAGTGGCCCCCACCTGCCACAACTAGAGAAAGCCCTCGCACAGAAATGAAGACCCAACACAGCAAAAATAAATAAGTAAAATTTTAAAATGCCCATATTATTTTTGGACCTTAACCATACATTTCTCATAATGAAATGTTCAGAAAACTGGGACTCTGTTGAAGGTGAGCTTATACATTCCTTTATCCGATAAGGGAGAATGAAATACATGTCTTCTGGACCTGAGCCATAGCACTGACTACCACAATTTAATGACAGTTTCATTTCACACCTATCTCAATCTATATGAGTGTCCCCCTCAAAACCTTCACCCCCAGCTGCCACCATTGATAAATCCTCTTGAACTATAAACAAACCATATTCTCCTTTTGCTCCCACAATATGATTCCTCTGCAAACCTTGAGCAGCCAGGTTGAATACCACAAAGTTGGGTTACAGAGGTTTTTCCCATACTGATGTTTAAATCCACTTACACTAGCCAGTTGGTAGTAACTCTTTCCAGGTGGCTGACTCTAGTGAATGTACCCCTTGTCTAGAAAGCCTACAGATTTTCAAACAATAACAACATTCTCACTTAATTTTTTTCTTTTTTTGCGGTACGCGGGCCTCTCACTGTTGTGACCTCTCCTCTTGCGGACCACAGGCTCCGGACGCGCAGGCTCAGCGGCCATGGCTCACAGGCCCAGCCGCTCCGCGGCATGTGGGATCCTCCCGGACCGGGGCACGAACCCTCGTCCCCTGCATTGGCAGGCGGACTCTCAACCACTGCACCACCAGGGAAGCCCTCACTTAATTTTAATTGAATAAGGCTACTGACTACACCATTAAAAACTAAAAACTAAATTTCTCTCATGAAATGTGGATGCATGAGGTTCTAAAGGCAAAGACCCCTAATCTGCTAGCTTTTCTTTGGAAGTCAAATTAATAAAATCTCAAGAGATGTTACTTTCTCAAAATGTACAAAATTTAGGCAGCAATAACAAACACACAAATGGAAGAAAGTGTGAGAGAACACAAAAAACTGTGAGCATGTGAGTTAAAATCTACAGTGTAAGTATGTATGTGTGCATGTGTATATCTCTTCAATCTAGTGGATTATCCAAAGACTCATTTATTTTTAATGAATTACCTGTGTAATTTAGCCTTTTAACCCAAATAAGAAGAGAGACTACAGATCTTAATAAGACAGTAGGTAGCTTCTCTCTTCAGGTTTCTATACAATGAAGTTTCTTAATTGAAACACTATAAAAATTTGGGGCCAAATAATTTTTTGTTTGTAAGTGCCTATCTTACGCATTATAGGATGTTTCGCAGCACCCCAGCCTCTATCCACTAGATACCAATAGCACCCTCCAGTTATGAGAACCAAAATGTCTCCAGGTACTGTCAAATGTCCCCTGGGGGAAAAATCCTAACCAGCTGAGAACTACTGCTATATATTTAAAATATAGTGCTGTTCAGTGTGCTAAATACTATCACATGCACTTCTAGCATCCTGAATATACTTAATACCACCAAAACACACTAACTTTTTAACTAGTTCCCAAATCAAAATTATCTATGGGGGGAAGAAAGTTGGGAAAGAATACTAGGTGATCTCAGACCCTCTCTACTTCCATAAAACTATGGAAGGAGCGCAAGATCATCGGCAGCGCAACTGAAGACTAATGAAGAAGGCCAGTTCCCAAGGGACTCCTGAAAGTACTATGAAAGCAGGAAGGAAAGTGTGTAGAACATTGGGAGACCTAAGCTCAATTCATTTAGTCAGAAAATGCTTGTCCTATTACTAATATCTTTCACAGTGCTAGATGTTTAAGGGATGAATTCAAGGTACATGCCCCATTTGTGAATTCTGGATGTCATATCACTTTCTGTAATTCCAGGGAAGAAAGCACAACACAGGATCCCTTAAGATACAAATTTCCTAAATTAAGCTAAAAAGTCCTATATAAACATATCTTTTATAGTTGATTTCACAAGTTATATTCTATTATATGCATTTACTAAATGGGATAAATAAGAATAGGCATTTTTCATTAGGTTCCAATTATGCTCACATAAACATGATTTTCTCTGGAATATACTCTATATTTATAATTTAATATAGTCTCTGCTTCACTGAGATAATGTATGTCTGTAAGAACGCCATAATCATTTATCATCTATGCAAGTTTAAATAACATCAGATTTCTATAAAGTTTACTACTTTCAAATGCGCACAAATGAAGAAAACTTACATTTTTTGGCATTCCTTTCGTTCTCCCAACATGGGATCCCCCATTTCTCCAAGAATGGTAGCTTCCACTTCATATTGAACAATGAGTGCTTTTTCTGATGGATGTACATCAATATTTCCTCCTTTAACTTTCCTATTAATATAAAATAAAAACAGACATAGCTACATTAAAAGCTCACAAAACATGCAAGGTTTTTATCTAGTTCCTAGTTCCAAAAACATGTGCGCTGGATTAACATATGCATTTAAATCAGATTTACTCTTGACTTGGACCAAGAAATAACTCTTTTTCTCCAACTCTGTAAACTCTGTACTGTACATGTAATTCTTGGTCTTGCAGAAAGTACCTTTATGAATAGCTCTGAGAAAAAATACATTTACCCAAAGAATCATGCATAACAGCCAGTGAATAAAACAAACAATTAAGATGGTTTTGGAGAGAATAACCTCAACCAAAAGTCAGCAATTCAAAACCAAAGGTAGCTACCCCAAAATTTACATTAAAAAAAAATAAACTGCCCAATAATTGGCCCATTAACTGTATCACAGAATGACATGAATTATCTAAACTGCAAAATAATATTGATTATGTATTATCTTACATAATTATATAAATTGAATTAGTACCTAAATCATTCTTCAAATCACACACAAGTTGTGTAACAAAAAAGCATTTACAGGTTATATTCTATAGTCACAGATCTCAAATTATAGTGCCATCAGTAGTTTCAATAGAAAGATTTTATATACTTTGTCCTCAGACCCCTACAGTTATAGAACAAATTTTTTTAATTGAAGTATAGTTGCCTTACAATATTATACTGGTTTCAAGTGTACAACATAGTGATTTTATATTTTTACTTTGGCTATAATCCCTGTGCTGTACATTACATCCTCGTAACTTATTTTATACCTAGCTATTTGTACCTGCTAATCCCCTTCACCTATTTTGGCCCTCGCCCTACACCTCTCCCTTCTGAGGACCACTGGTTTGCTATCTGTATCTCAGAGTCTGTTTCTGTGATGCTATATTCGTTCATTTGTTTTATTTTTATATTTTACATATAAGTGAAAACATACAGTATTTGTCTTTCTCCGCCTGACTTATTTCACTAAGCATAATATCTGCCAGGTCCATCCATGTTGCCACAATAATGAATTAACCACTACTTGTTATTGGCCACTTTAGGATCTGATAAAATGAGTTTTATTAAAGGAGATTAAGCAATGGAAACAAGCAAAATTTCCCACTGTAGTCCGAGCCAGCTAGCTGGCTAGTGAGGTCTTTTAGCCTAATGGGAAGGAACAGAAATATGACAACACCTTAAATTCCAATAAACAGAAACTCAAAGCTTTTCCTTCAGTTAGGAATAATTGGCTTATTATGCATATTTGCAATGTAATTTTTAAATTTTTTTTCACCAGAATTCTTTATTACAACAAGGGTAAGGCTCTTCAGTCTGTATTAGGACAATGATTAAGAGTCAAGTGTAGAGACAGAGTAGGAAATCAAATATACAGAAGCTAGAGTCTAGGTAGGTCAGCAACTAAACTGACAGTAAGACATACAGAACAAAGCCTATAAAGAATAAAAGCAAAAACCAGGTAGGCCAGTCAAAAACAGGGAGTTGGGTAATTAGATATATACACACATATTAAAGAGAATGGTACAGCTTCCAAAAGATAATATAAATGCATACAAGTTCAGACTAGCAGTCAAAAGCTAGAGAAACCACAGAAATGAAGAGAGTAAGAGAGCTGAAAAACAAATGTAATGTAGCATTAAAGAAACTAATTATAAAGAGAACTAGTTATTTGCTTCCTGATGAAATGGAGAGCAACCCCAGTACTGAACTTCTTATATAGGAGAGGGTAACTGTATCCAATTGAAGAGAATCATAAGGATGAAATGTAAGTGCAGATCCTAAGAGTAACCTTATACCAGCACTTTCAAAGAGGGTCTTCCACATATTAACAACTGACGGAAAAGCATAATTGTTATCCTCTGGTCTGATATTTTGCCTTTCTCCAAAGAAATCAAATAGTTCAAAGAACCTCACTATTGCTTTTCAGCTTTCGTTTGCTTTTTTCTTTTCTGTATGTGTGTTTTAAAGAAGTTAATTAATTTTATAATATTTATTTTTTATTACGAATACAATTTATGATTACTGTAAAAAAACAACACAGAAATTAGCAAAGAGAAAAAATAAACTGAAAAAGTTAGAAGAAACCAATTGTTACCATTTAGCACATACACATCCAGACATTTTTCTATCTATATGTAAATAATATATAATGAGAGAATGTCAGCTCTAGAATTTCTTTAAAGAGGCTTAAGGGTAGCAATCTGGTAGGGTTAAAACTACATTTGAATAGCAATTTACATAACGTTGACACAAGTATTAAATGTTTATATCATTGTGGGGGCTGATGGAGATTATGGGATGGATAAACCTCTTCCCTGTTCCCCTTGGCACTGTCACTGAATATATAAAATACACATATTACAAACTAAGCTCATATTATATATACTGTGTGTAACATACTTTCCAAAATTACTATATAATGACTTTAAAAGAATACTTTGCCTTTAGAACTTCATATAGTCAAATACTAGATACTCCATTTGTTGAACACCTTGATTCTTTTTTTTAACATCTTTATTGGAGTATAATTGCTTTACAATGGTGTTAGTTTCTGCTGTATAACAAAGTTAATCAGTTATACATATACATAGGTTCCCATATCTCTTCCCTCTTGTGTCTCCCTGCCTCCCACCCTCCCTAACCCACCCCTCTAGGTGGTCACAAACCACCGAGCTGATCTCCCTGTGCTATACGGCTGCTTCCCACTAGCTAGCTATTTTACGTTTGGTAGTGTATATATGTCCATGCCACTCTCTCACTCTGTCACAGCTTACCCTTCCCCCTCCCCATATCCTCAAGTCCATTCTCTAGTAGGTCTGTGTCTTTATTCCCATCTTAACCCTAGGTTCTTCATGACCTTTTTTTTTTTTCTTAGATTCCATATAGATGTGTTAGCATACGGTATTTGTTTTTCTCTTTCTGACTTACTTCACTCTGTATGACAGGCTCTAGGTCCATCCACATCACTACAAATAACTCAATTTCGTTTCTTTTTATGGCTGAGTAATATTCCACTGTATATATCACCTTGATTCTTTATTTCTAACTTACATTGCATGAAATTTACAAGATTCCCTCACAAAACATTCAAAACCATTTGCAGGACAATTGGCTGATTTACAACGTAATTTACAAAATTACATTTTGTAATTCAGTTACTCTGTATTTATGAATGATATAAATATTTTTAAATTGACAAACATGGTTTCAAATTCTATTTTGGTTGGTAAAATATTCCAGCTTTTTGGACACAATTATGAATTATGTCTACATGCAACCTGTGACAAGTACACATCTGCTGTTGATAGCTGATTTAGTATGAAAAATTGCTTTTACCATAGCAATGTGCCTCATCAAAATTTATACTTGTATTATCACCACAAAATGAATAATTTTATCTTAAATGCTATACTTTTTTTTTACATCTTTATTGAAGTATAATTGCTTTACAATGGTGTGTTAGTTTCTGCTTTATAACAAAGTGAATCAGTTATACATATACATATAACCACTGCTTTGTGGTTATATGTATATGTGGTTATAAAGACACACTGTATGTGTCTTTATTCCTGTCTTACCCCTAGGTTCTTCATGACATTTTTTTTCTTAAATTCCATATATATGTGTTAGCATACGATATTTGTTTTTCTCTTTCTGACTTACTTCACTCTGTATGACAGACTCTAGGTCCATCCACCTCATTACAAATAGCTCAATTTCATTTCTTTTTATGGCTGAGTAATATTCCATTGTATATATGTGCCACATCTCCTTTATCCATTCATCCGATGATGGACACTTAGGTTGTTTCCATCTCCTGCCTATTGTAAATATACTTCTAAACTGAATTTGACATGGCATTCATAATGATGTCAGATATTTAACAATTGCGACAATGAACTTCAAATGCTTTACTTGGAATCCATGAATCAGGTGAGAAATAATTTAGCCCATTATTAGAATTAACTGATTTACTATTTGTAGCATCTCATGACACTGATATTAAACTTATATCTTTTAACTGTCTGCAAATTTCTTGTACTAATGGAGCCTTCTTAATAACAGGTCTACTTCACCTTTTTTTTTTTTAACCTGCACAAGAAAACTGGAACCAAAAATGTGCTAAATTGATTTAGAAAAAGTTTTGCTTTTTTAATCTCAATATGAAGTCATGCTTCACATACTGATGTAAGATATACCTTTCTTTATCTACATGTGATAATTGTCACCTTCAGGCAGAGTATTCTTAATTACTAACTTCTAAAGTACATCCTGATGTTTCTAGACTTCATGTGGTCGATGATATCATTATGATCCCTACAACAGATAACAGATGCTGACTAACACTGTGCTCCATATTCATCATCAATTTCCTAGAGGAACAAAATTTATCCCTTTATTTTTCATTAAACAGGTTTTAAAAAAAATTATTGCTGTCAAAAGGGTTTATTACAGGTTTGTGTTCAAGACTGTGATGTAGGAGGTTCCTGAACTTACCTCCTCCCATAGATGCACTGAGTCTATACCATCTATGAAACAATTTCCTCTGAATGCCCCCCCGCCCCCACCTTGGGACCTCCCTGGTGGTCCAATGGTTAAGACTCCATGCTCCCAATGCAGGGGGCTCCCAATGCAGGGGGAGTCCACACGCCACAACTAAAAAAAAAAAACAAAAAAACCCAAACTAGCTGAGCAATGCCCACAAATGGAGCAAACAAGAAAACCCACATTGAAGCAAATAAGAGAGACTGAGACATAATCTTGCCATAAACCCCACGTCTGGTGTGGAGACCCACAACTGGGCAAAAACTCACACCTGAGCTGCTACTTGAGGAATGAAGGATTTGAACCCTACATCTGGAACCCAACTTTTAAGACCTACACCTGAGAGACAAGCCCCCAAAACATCTAACTTCCATGAGACCCCAGTGGCTATATCAAAACAGTGAAACAGTTCTTAAAGGGCTTGCACATGCAAGCTCACCCA